GAGGCATTAACAAAAATAAAGACACAGAGGGAGGGAGGAAGGAGGAGAAACCAGTATAGCCCTGGCAAAGCGGTAGCAAGAGCATCCAAGGAAATGAAGCAAAATAATTTGCGTCAGTGAAAATAGCTTCATGGAGAATGTCATGTAAATTAGACTATTGTTCTATTTCATCACTTTTCCCCCTCTAAAACGTTTAGTTCAATTTATTTCATTGTCAACTACCTGGAGCCTTGTGCCACACTGTGGTGAACGGCAGTGGGGCGGGGACGCACCATTATCTGCAATAACAAAATGTTGTTTGGTCGAATAAATTAAACCAATTACAGGGGGCCGCTAGGTACCAGTGGTGAGGGGCTGGACTTGGGGGAAAGGGTCTGGGGGTGGTTGGAAAAGGAGAGAGATCCCTTTTTCTATCCAGCCTGCCTACTGTCTCTGGAGGGGTGGGGGAGGCAGCAAGGAACTCTGTGTGGGAGGGGTGCAGGGGATAGGCCAGCGATGGACCAGAAGTGGGAGCTCTGGCTTCTAGAAGTGGCTGTCTGTGTGATCAGGTTATGATCGGCCAGAAAATAGGGGAGCAAACCCCCAGCCCTCCAAGTTTAGCAGGGAAACCTGAGGGGTGGGCGACAAAGAGCACAGAGGAAGGAGAGAGTGAGAAGAGAAGGAAGGAAGCCAGCGTCTCTGGGAACAGATACAGATACAGATACAGATACAGATACATTGCTGCTCTATGGAGGACAGGGAGCCAAAGCTCCTCTGCACAGGGTTGCCTGTGCAGGGCTCTAGGACCCGGAGTCCCCAGTGCCCCAACCAAGTCTTAATTTCAAAGGGACCAACAGTTAGTTGCTGACCCAGTAGGTGGGATGAAACTAAAACTACACAAGAGACCACACCCAAACACGGGCCATTCCCTGGCTAGACAGCTGCCCTGTGTGCTTTCCATAGGCCCAAAGAGAATCCACGTGGCCTGAGGGCTGCACCCTTGGTGCCATGATACTGTCCACCCATGGCTGGTGGCTGAGATGACCTCTGCTCCCTGCTGGAGGACGAGTGCTCACCTGGAACTCTTTAAGCTGCCATCGTCAGAAGGCGCCTTAGAAGGTCCCTTGTTCTTTGACAACCAGGACTTGACCCCGTCGACCCGGTCCTCCAGCTCTGAGTCCACATCTGAGTCCCCCTCACTGTTGGGGTGAGGAGCATAAAGGTAGGCAAGGCCAGGCAGGTGAGGATCATTTGCTGTCCAGGACAGAGAGCAGAAGGGGGCAGGGCACATCTTGGGCGGGGTTGGAGTGCAGATGGCATGCACATCAGTGAGTCAGGGAGAAGAGAAAGGTTAGAGTGAGCACGCTACCCACAAGGTGCCCATCCCTTCAGTCGGCAGACTGTAATGTGTGACAGTCACTAAGAAGATCCTGAGGAGTATGGAGGCACTACCCGTTCCATCCCAGATGACAAATAGGCAGGACACCCACTTGGTGATTCTAGTCTAATGGCTCTTGGTTATAAAGAAGTCTTAGGGTGAGTCAAGATGATTCAGTACAGAACAGCACTTGCCACAAAGCACGATGGTCTGAGTTCAATCCCTAGAAGCCATATGACCTCTAACTTCTACACATGCACTGTAGCACACTCATATCTACCCACATACGTACATCCACATCCACAAGTCCATGTGTACATGTATGTGTGCACTTGTATGTACATGTATGTCTGTGTGCATGTGTGTGCATGTGTGTCTGTGTGTGAATGTGTATCTATGTGTATGTATGTAATGTGTATCTGTGTAGTTGTGTGTGCATGTG